AATCGATTATTTTAGATATTTCAGCTTAGTGATAAAAAGCTAGTTAATACAGGCCTTTAAGGAGGTGATCAAGTTAAAATGTAACTGTTAAGGTGGCCCCTAAACTATTGATCAGGGTCCTAATAAGAAGTGGAAATTCAGACACAAGAAAAGATACCAGAGATGGGAATGCATATAGGGAAAAGGCCACGTGAGAACACACTGAGAAGGTGGCCATGTACAAGTCAATGAGAGAGGCCTCAGAAGAAAACAAACCTTGGACTTCCAGCCTCCATAATAGTGAGAAAATAATTTCTGTTGTGTAAGCCACCCAGTCTTTGGTACTCTGCTGTGGCATCCATAGCAAATGACTATACTCCATTTCTAAAACTGACATAGTAATATTTCCCTCATGAGGCTGTTGCCAAGATTAAATGAGATAATTAGTCTAAGAAAAAGACTTAACCAGGGCTGGGGATTTAGCTCAGTGCTTCTGCCGCCTGCCTCGAAAGCAGAAGGACCTGAGTTTGATCCCTGGAACCAAAAAAAAAAAAAGACTTAACAATAGGCCAAGACATGGTAAATAATTAGTGACAGTTATTACAGTTATACAAAGGGATAATAAAGTATACATAAATCACTTGCCTGTGACACAAGTTTGGCCTAATTAAAATGAATTTGCCAATCATTCTGGGCTTCTCTCAGTTTGAGTTACCTTCTGTCTTTGAAAGAAGATCTGAATGGTCTGATGGTCCTTTGTCTTTCAAGCACAGACCAGAGAAATTGAAATGTGTCTCTTCATTTTATCTTGATTTTCTCAGCCATAATTAGTCATATTGGAGTCTTTATGACATCTACTTAAAATTCAGATTGCTCTTTTAAAAATAGATATGGGAGAATGCAAATTATTCAGAGTCTTTATTAAAGATTTCAGATTCTTAAGGATTCTAAGCATAGGTCACTTTCAAATCTCTTTCCTTTGCACATGTTTTAAATACCCACAATTTGGAGGCTATTTCAAAAGGAGTGAGGGAAGAAACACCCCAAGACCACCTGAGAGGGAGGTGCAGAAGGCAGGAGAAGGGGTATCCTGGCGGGTTCAGCTGATTGCCTTCCAATAACAGAAAGCTTTTGGCACATTTCAGTGTGATAGGGGACATCACTTTCTTTCCCTGCATGGTCCCCTGTTCAGTGTTGGTAGTGGCTGAAGGCACTAACCGAATCGGGACATGGGGCTGTTGAATGGAAATGTGCTGAAGGATCCAAGCTGTGCAAGGCCAAGCTCTGAAAGACCAGTGGTGCTCATGTAGGATGAGAAGGGGCAGCTGGCTCTCCTTCAGTTCTGTTCCCTGGATACGCTGGCAAGACCCAGTGTATGAGCCGCAGCAGGTGGAATAACTTGCCCATTTTGAATTTCACCCAAATCCCGGAGAGTATAATTCACACAAGGACATGTGAATGTGGGCTGAGTCTTTTCTTCTGAATCACTCAGCTTTTTACAAATCCTGCCTCTTGATCCAGGCCACTCCCTTCAGAGACATGGCAGTGAGAGTTTCTGTTTTGCTTCTAAAGAAACCAAGGCACAGGGACTTAAACTAGACTTAAACTAGCAGGTGTGGATAAGCTGACCCTGAGATCAAGAGGTTCTGTACCCCTAAGGTGGCATTTTTATGGGCATTGTTCATAAATATCTCAAATATAGGGAAAGTGATCTGGTCTTAGAAGAATGTAGACCAGAGACCCCACAAAAGTCAAAGCCATGACTGGAGTGAAAGTCATGCACATGGGCAGCATCTGTTTTGGTGGCACATAATTGTGGTCATGGCTGCATTTCTAACTTCTCACTCAGCTTTTTGTTGAAGCAGTCATTCTTTAGAAAATGAAAGTTGGACCATTCCCCTTGTGAAATGCAAAATGCCATCAGTGATATCCTTCTTCATACAATCCACTCTGATGGCTTGTGGTGTCTTACATGTTGGTAAAAGAATGTTGCCTAGAGGCAGGCTCTGTGGGTAAAGACACAAGATAAAATCAACCTTTCAATGGGGAGTCCCAACATAGAAGGTTGATCCAACATGAGGAGAAACATATTCCGAAAACACTGGCCTGCATCAGTCATCTGGGGACAATCTTTAGGAATACAAAATCCTGGGCCCCAGCCCCAGCCATTTAATTTCAATAACTTGCCAGGGCAGTACTCAGGAATTTGCAACAAGTGTCCTGGGTGACTCTGAAACAGGAGATCACAAACACTGCTCCATGAATTACTGCCCAAGACAACATAGGGTGTCCACTTCCCTTCTGATTCTAAATTTGAGTGAATCTGTTACACTTGGTGCCTCAGGTGCCCTCAAGTCCTGGATGGCAATAGGGCCAAATCAAGAGAATGGCTCCCAGATCTGAGGAGATCTAAGGAGTGTATCAATCCTGACCTCACCCTCCCATAGCCTCTTCATAGATGGAGTGCCCTGTACTTTGAGTTCTTAAGAGGCAAAGTGCTGTATAATAACAGAAGTAATATTGATAAAAGGTATATTCTCTTAAATTCAGATATTATTTATCAGCCCCTTTCATTTTATCTTTTGATTTTTTACTCTAATTGCACTAGAATTTCACAATAAATTATTTCACTCATGAAGAATCAGAGGCAGAGAAATAACTTCTGGAGTGACATCCCATTGACTGAGCACCTGGTTTTCAAATTGGCTATTTGAGAATCTATGTGGCCTGGCCAAGGAGTTCAGTTGTGGTGTTTAAACTATGAGGAATCACTAGAATCTGGTTCTTTTCTATGTCTTGGTTTTCTTGGTTGCTCAAGTGCTCACAAAACTAGACCTTGGACTGTATACCATCAGTCACCAGGGTGGTAACATTCTTAGTAGGTGCTCCTGTCTTTCTGTATTACAACCATGGGTTTTCATGTAGCTAGCTATTTTTATTAGTGGTACAAGAGTTGCCACTATTACAGTATGCACAGAGTTGCCGAAAAAGCATTTGAAATAACCACAAAAACTATTAAGACTTTTATATGGCCAGGTTCTCCTTCCTCACATTGGACCATCCTATCTTATTCTCTTGGTGGAGGCATCTCCTGTTTGGGATAAATTATGACAGGAGTCAGGAGACCTGAGTTGCCAGGTTCAGGCCAGCAAACCCTGATAGAGAGATGAATGACAAAGTGTGAGTCAGAGAAATTTTCTGAAGAGGGTTAGGGAACCCCATTGAAATAGAGCCTCAAAGTGACTCAAAGTTCCAGACTTACTGAGGAACAACAAAGACATAGAGTTGTGCTGAGCACAAATGTTTGTTTTAGGTTAGCAAGGCAGGTAGCAAGGCATGGTGAGTTTGGATGAATACTTAATTTTTATCTGATTGTCCCCTAAGGAGCTTCCTTGTTTTCCCTGTAAGACCCATCTCTGCTCTAATTGGCAAAACATCCCATCTTCAAGACATTTCAGTTCCTCAGAGTTAACAGCCTTCCATCTCCCGAGTCAACCCGAACAGATGTTGACCCATTGGATGTTGCAAGAAACTCCCCACTGAGTTCTGGTAAAGGCACCACAAATAATTTACAATGATCTTGGGAAAGCTGCTAATCGATTGGAGTCTCAGATTCTTCATCTATAACACGAGATCTCTTACTCTACATTTTCTATGTCTAATATTTGTAAATCTGATTCCTACCAAGCGACCAGAAATGATAGAGATACAGATGAATGAGTGCCTTCCCTAGGAATCAGCCTGAGAATAGAAAACACTGCTTCTTGGTGAATTTCCAGAGGTACCAAAAGCAGAGGGCTCATGGCTTGGGGAACACATGAGTGTAAAGGTAGGTTTACATTTTCTTGCCCACTAGGCTTATACAGATGCTCATTGCCTCTACCTGCTGCTTTTGTGTTGTGACTTGAGGGAGCCCGGAACCTTTTGTGATCAGAGCAGGGCATGACAAGGAGGAACCTAATAAGGTGGCACTGGGTGCTCTCATACTTGGAAGTACATGAGAATATGGTAGACATCTGTAGCTACAGGGAAGTTGGAGGCTGCCCTAATCTTATGAGTAGGCATGGGAATGTTGCTAAGGACCAAAGAATCACAGAGGCTGGATCTTGGCAGGTATCTATTCCACCTCCAATTCCAAGTATATTGGAAATACATTCATTCATTAGGATCTGGACTTAAAGCAAGTCAGGAGCAGACTTAAAGTGAGCAGGTCACTTTTAGGCATTTAATAAATATCTTCTGAGTCAGGGAACATCCCTACACAATGGTGTGATAAAAACCAGAAACAACTAGCCCTGAGCACAGTTTCCCAAGACTGAACCATGGAGTACCAGAACTAAGTGTGTGGCTCCTATCTTGATTTCTCTTTCTTTACCTTGTGGTAGTACCACCTTTCCCCATTATAAGGACCTCTGAAGAAGGAGAGTGGCTGAGGACCATTTCTGTTCTTTTATATATATTTGTTAATTTTTCATTGTGGTAAAAAAAACATGTAAAATTTACCATATTAACCATTTTAATTGTATATAGCTTAATATTGCTAAATATAATCATATTACTGTGAAACAAGGACAATGTCTTTTTTATGAGAAACTCCTGAGACCTGAAAAATACATGGATCTTCAGAAATGAAATGTTTTCCCGCAAAGAATGTAAACATTATGTACTACATACATGTACTAATAAACTAAAAAAAAAGCCAACATGACCGCAATTGCTATTACAAATGCTTTTGCTGCACCTTACAGTTTGGGGTTCTTTTTTAAAACATGGAATCTTTTTATTTTAGGGCATGAAATCTTTTTATTGTTATTTTTATTTTTATTGAGACAGGATCTTGAAATGTAGCTCAAGCTGGCCTTGAACTAGGAATCCTCCTGAATCAGCCTCCTGCGTGCTAGGATTATAGGCACAGGCCATGACACCCAGCTTTTTATGACGTGAAATATTGAGACATCACATTCTTATTTTTTTTTCCTTAGGATAAGAACGTTCTCAAATAAAGCTGGGTTGCAGTACCACATATCACCGTTAGGTGCTGCTACTTGACAGTATAGTAAAGGGATTGAAATCTAAACAAAATCTTTTTCCTTCCTCCCTTTTTTTTTCTTTTGTGCTTGTTGACTGTCAAGCCCTATACTATACTCTGCAGATACTGCAATAAACAAGACAAAAAGTCTTATGAAGCAGATGAGTCATTACTATAGGAAGTGAGTTTAGAAGAGAGCTTCTATTTCGAGTTTATGCTGAAGTAGGTGAGACATGAGGTAACCTGAACTAGGGCACTAGCTGGTGGGTGGTAGGGTGGGGATGGGGTGGGGGAGTGTGGGCTTTTGAAACAACTTGGTGGGTTCATGTTTCTGGGATGACCATGGACCCCCTTAACCACTAAGCTCACACTATTCACCAGAGTTCATAAAATGGTCACTGGGCAACCTATTTGTTTCGGCTTATGTGGTAATAGAGTGGACCCTTGACTTATGAACTCAGTTTGTTCTCGAGGTCTGGTTATAACTCAAGTTGGTCAATGAAGGCTCAGGCTCCTCTACACAGCCTTCAAAGTCTCTCTTCTGTCTACAGGCAGATCTCAGTGTTCTTAGAGAGACTTTGGGCCTGGGTCTCAACCCCTCACAGGAAAGGATGTTGTAATCTTCCTTCCAGAACTCTTTAAGGGTTAAATCTGTATCTGAGACCATCTGGAAGCACAAGTGGCTGGCATTCAGGTCATAACTCAAGACTTTGTTCTTAACTTAAAGCTAAAATTCTGGTTATAACCAAAGTTGTTTGTGTGTCGTTCCAGTCTTAACTTGAGGGTCCACTGTATTTTTTAAAATGTCCATTACTTGCCAAAATGAAATACAGATTTTTTAGCTTTCCATGAAAAAAAATCAGCAGCTCTAGCAGCACTGACTAGAGCAGTCATGGCTGCCCCCTTAGCAACCCATCTGTCAGCCAGCTTGGTTTCCCTCATTTTGGTTCTTGCCTGGTCCCTTTGGGTAGGGCTGATATTCAGTGGATATGTACTGGCACTGCTGTAACAGCTGTGAAATTGGTGAAATGTTTCTGTTCTGATTGGTAAATAGCTTTCAGAACTCTCGTAGGGTCTCCTATGTGCCAAGCTATTCCCAGGGGCACCTCCCAACCCACTTCCCTGTAATTGGCCGGAAGGAGGATCCATCTGGAACCACAGGACCATCAGGTACTAGCTCCAGCACTAAGTCCAACATCCAGCTTCTGATTAGTCTTCACCTGAGCCATAGTGGTTGCTAGGTATTTTGAGTATCACCCCTGCTTTAGGGAATGAAGTCTGGACTGGACCATTCTCTCCTCCTGAAGCCAGGAATGCAAGATCGTCCCTGTAGGCAGGGGATGCGTTCAATCCCAGATGGCTTTCGGGTTTGGGTTGATTTTCCCCCAAAAACCTTTAATTATGAAAGCTGTTTTATTTTCAGAAGTGTTTACTTTTCCATAGCATGATGTTGAATGTGGTCAATCTGGAGAGCATTATGTAAAATTTTATAACCTAAGGGAGTCAGGAAATTATTTTTTATTTTTGCAGCTTCAACACATTAAAATAATGTGATTTTCTTCATTTATAGAATGCCATTCCAGGGGCATATTTAAATTTTTGTAGTCAGTGTTAGATTTGTGGTACAGCTAAAATAATGATAGTGGTAATTAATAATAATTCTAATAAAACCTATTTGTCCTTTGGAACACTGGCCTGTTTCCTTTCCTTCACAGAAAGCCCATCTATGTGGAACCTGAAGGCCAACCTCAGAGGAACCTGTTGTCTCTCCTCCAGGAACTCATCTGTGTCCAGGAAGATGCTTGTTCTATTCTAATCAGAAGCCAGTGGGTGCTGGCCTGCTGGCTGGCTGTAAACCGGAGAATGAGCGGAGGCCAGGGAGTGTGAGCATATCTTCAGGGTGAGATATTTGATTACACAAGGGAGGGAAGTTGATGGCCAGTCCTCCCATCTGGAGAAAAACGTCTGGGTGGCAGGAGCTAAGGATAGGGTGAAAGACAGTGATACACTGAGGAGAGTGGGTGAGGTGAGGAGAAGGCTTGTGTCTGGCCAGAGACCGTTAGCTGCAAGGGCGCCAGGCTTGTCTCTCCGGTTTTTATCTGGAGTGGAACTAAATGGGACTCAATCAATATGGGGTTCTGTGCGCTTCTCTACACCATTCTCTCCTTTTGCTCAGCTGTGTCTTTCCCAGTTCCCATTCTCTCTTGCCCCCTGGGTCTTCCTTGGAAGGAGTGGAATTGAGGGAAAGACAAGCTCTTCTTAAAAAAACCTCTTTTCAGGCAAAGGCAGTAACTTCCTCTTTCTTTTCCCCCCCAGATGGGGGACATCTGTAAATGACATGTATGTGACGTCCTATTTGGGGCTCGCAGGCCTCTCTCCCCATCTAGAATGTGGACCACATGATGGAAATGACTATACCCTTTATTTGTAGGGCCAGCGTCTAGTGCCATATCTGGCAGAAATAAACTCAATAAATACTCATCAACTGAAAGAAAGGAAAATCCAGAGTAGGTCAGAAATGCGTGGATGGCATTGCTTGTATTTCCTACAACGACTGCCTTCAAGGTTCTGAAGCATAGCAAGACTTTGGAGTGCTTGAAGAATCATGAACAAAGAAGGCATCATCCAAGGAGACCAGAGTGAGGCAAATATAACCAGCAAAATTTTACTCGTGGAATTGTTTAAGAGCTTGGAAATTGGCTGTTGATTTGTGTTAGATAATAACTCCATGTATGTGTGGCCCTGCAATCTCAGCCTCCGCCATTCTGGATAACCAAATTATACTATTTATACTACCTGATATTCATTTTAATTCCAGTTTGGGTTTTTCATGTGCTTTATGATTCCACCATATGTCAAGACACGCTCATGTGGCAACTGCCACAGCAGCATGGTGAAGTGGATGATTCCTTGGACAGTGGGGCAGTAGGGTGAGGAGCCTGGGCTTGGGGATGGGGACTGCAAGGCAGCTCAGAGCCATGGGAAACCTGGCTCTGTACTCGGAGAGACTCAGCTTCCAAACTTTGCCTTTTCTGATTATAAGACTTTGAGGAAGTTACTTAACTATGATTACTGAAACCAGAATATTTGGAAAGAAATCAATGTTTACTGTGGCCAATCATACTGAATCAGTGCAGTCGGAGGAGTGGTGGCATGTGGATGTCCTGTTGCCTGTTAGATGTGCACATATTTATATGAACTGTGTGACCTTTTTGTTTCCTTTCTTAGGGATGTGAGGAGAGAAACCCTAAGGTCAGGCATAGTTTCAATTGTGCTAGTTCCGGAGTTTGGAAGGGCCTATTCAATGAACAGGCCAGATAGACCTTTCTTTTAGACATGAAAGATTTATGACCTGTTCAGCCGAGAGCCCCACCACAAAAACCTCATTGAGCTTGTTACACATTATCTTCCAAATATCAGCCCAGATTAAAGGACTGTCTGGCTCACTGACAATTATTCACTGGCTTCTGTACAGTGTGTTATTGTATGGTGCTTCCTCAGGAACTATAATTAGGTGATTGTGTAAGGAGCCTACAGTGCACGTTTGAATAGCGATTCTATTTGGCTCATGATGTCACTTGCTCCCGCTGGTCCCTTCTCATCTTATGGCCTTTGCCATGGTGTGGCTGGAATTTGATACACGTGAAGTCAGACCATGAATTTTCCGTGAAGTAATGAGAACACTTGGGATGAATCACTTGGTACGTACGTACCTGAGATAATTATGGCCTAAGTGTCAGCAGTTCTGGGATTCCAGAACTGCTACTACTCAGTCAGCCAGCTTTCAGAGACTTTGTTCACTAGAAATTAGGGTTCATGGTACTGGCAACCCCAGCTGTCTTTGTTTTGTGTGGCCATATGAGAATATCACAGACTGGGGACTTCATAAGGAAAAGAAATTTGTTTCTCACATTTCTGGAGGTTGAGAAGTCCAATATCAAAATTCTCACCTTCTTGCTGCATCATCCCAGAAAGAAGGCAAGAGGGTGGGGAGAAAGGTATAGAGAGAGGTAGGGGCCTGATATCCTTTCCTCAGGAGTCTACTCTTCAATAACTAACCAGTTCCTGGAATAACTAACCCACTCCTGTAATAACAGCCTTCATCCATTTGAGGGCAGAGCCCACCTGACCTAATCACCTCTTAAAGGTTCCACCTCTCAACCTCAGCGGCCTTGGAGGTTAAGTTCCTCCAACACATGAACTCTGAAGACACATTCAAACCATAGCAGTTATAACAGATTGTGTATAAGCTCCCTTCCTTCTTCCCTTTCCCATACCCAATTGTGCCGCATCTTGAAACTTTTAAGCATCTCTGGACTCTCCCTATGTTTTTGTTTCTCCACAGCCACCACTCTGGTCTCACCCTTAGTCAACTACACTGGCCCCTTGACCAGTTTCACAGCACCGACTCCTACTATCTTCTAACAGACTGGCTGCTGCCACTGTGATATTTCTGGACAATCACCTGGAACACATTCTGTTGTTTAAAACCTTCCAGTGGCATCTCTGTGCTCTTGTAAGTCAAATTCTTAGCAACCCATGTTATGGTTTAGATTTAAAATGTCTCTCAAACATCTCATGTGTTCAGAGGTAGGGCTTGGAAGGTGAGGATCATAAGGGCTCTAATTTCATCGATGTATTAATCCATTGATGAGAGCATAATTTTATGGCATTATTGAGGGTAATGAAAACTTAGGAGCTGAGACCAGTTTCAAGGGAGTGGGTCATGGGGATGTGACCTTGAGGATTTATCTGGTCCCTTGCTCCTCCCTCTTGGGCTTTTCCCCTGGTCTCTTCTTCCCCAATGCCATGAAGGGCTGTACCCTTCTGCCATGATGTTTCTGCCTCAGAGCCAGCCCATCATGGACTGACACCTCTGAACCCATGGGCCAAAATACACCTCTTCTTTGTTTTTCTCAGGTCACAGTATTGAAAAGCTGACTAATACAACCTGTAAGACCCTAAATGATCAAACAAGTCTATATCTGAAACCTTATCTGGACACTCTTCTCCTTATTACTGACAGTCCAGCCAAACCAGCTTTAGCAATGTAAATGAACCAAGAGCTCTTCTCCTTAAAAGACCATTTCACTAGACATTCCTTCTGCCCATAATATCTCCCACTTCTCCAGACACCTCTCAGCCCCTGCTGATGATCAAGATCATTTAAAAACTAGGTAGGAATCAAAGAGAGTCATCAGTTTGCTGAATGTCAGAGCTAGAAAAGGGGCAGTGAAACCTGTGGCCACATTTTATAATGTGGGGATGGGGAAACTGAGGTCAAGATGATATCAAAGAGCAGATCTAAAATGTCCCCCAAATATTCTTTTATCAGGCATAAATACATATATACAAAAACTATATTTATGCATGATATTATTTGTAGAGAATGTATAATTTTTTGTTTCTATTGCCTCACTAATCTTTATAGCATCCTCGAGAAGAAGGTATTATCTTCATTTGCAGATGGAGAAATAACTGAGAATGTGAGTGACTTAAGTCAGGTCACTCCAGTGTAGAGGTACTGAAGCCTAAGCTTCTGGTGCTTGTGTGACTGTTTCTCCCACTTATTGCTTTGCACCTCTTACAAGTAAATTCTTGGACATCTCTACTTCCAGTGGGAATTACACTGATGAAGGAGTCACATCTGTGGGCTAAGAAAAGAACTGCTTCATCGGTGCAATCCATGGTAGCTAAGAACTGGAAAGAGCCTAAATATCTATCAACAGATGAAAGGATAAAGAAAAGGTGGTACAAATACACAATGGAATATTATTCAGTCATAAAGAAAAATAAAATCATACATTTTGCAGCAAAATCGATGGAGCTTGAGACCATCATGCTAAGGGAAATAAGCCAGATGCAGAAAGCTAAGTATTGAAGGTTTTCTTTTATATGAGAAACCTAAAATATTAATAAATTAATGAATAAAATAAAGGAGAGATGATAAGAAACTGGAAGGTAGATTATTGCAGATGAGGAAGGGGTTTAGGGAAAGAGGAGGAGAGGGGAAGTGAGGTAAAGAGATTGAAAATGATTGCAGTATGTTAGATGCATGTACCAATTTCCCAAAATGAATATCACTGTTCTGTATTACAAACATGCACTAATGAACAAAAAAGGAAAAAGGAAAAATAAAAAAGACCTGCTTCATGCCCTTCCTTGCTCACTTCTTTGGTGGATGTAATTTCTCCATCTGCTAAATGAAATGGCCTCAAGTTAAAGGATGTGGTGGGACAGTATAGCCACTCAAGAATCAGAATCACTGGGGTTTAAAATCTTGGCTTTGCTGCTTGCAGCTTGATAGCCTTAGCCAGGTTGTAGGAGCCTCTTTGAGTCTTAGGTTCCCCATTGTAAAGTGTGGGTACTAATTGTGTTCTTCCAAGTTTGCTCAGAATTAAATGAGATACTGCTTCTGAGGCAGAGCAAACAGAAGGCACACCATAGATACTATTTTTATTTTCTTTTTAACTGATGAATAATAATTGTACATATTTATGGGGCACAGTGTGATGTTACAGTACATGTACAGTTGTCCCTTGGTATCCACAGGGGATTGGTTCCAGGACTCCTCTGCAGATACTCAGATCTGCAGTTGCATAGCCTTTTACATAAAATGATACAGTACTTTCAGGTATCTTCCTGTGTACTTCAAATTATCTCTAGATTACTTATAATATCCCATACAATGTAAGTGGTATTTAGTGTAGTATTAAGGGAATAATATGAAGAAAAAAATAGTCTGTGCACGTTCAGTACAAATGGAACCATTCTTGGCTTATGTGTGAGCAAACAACTGTGACTTTGGGTGAGCAGTGCTCAAACAGTGCTGGAGAGAAACTGAGTTCTGCAAATGGCGGGAGGCTACAGCACGGTGTGTCTACCTGTCATTTTGTTCCCCTGGATTCACCCTAGCATGTGGCAAATTCAAGTTTTGCTTTTTGGAACTTCCTGGAATTAAAAAAATATTTTCTATCCAAGGTGGTCAGAGATCTTAGATGCAGGAACCAAGAATAAAAGTGATAACCGAAGGATGTGTAACAGCCATTGGGACATTTAGTTTACCCATCACCTCATGCATTTCTTCTTTCATTGTGCTGAGAATATTGACAAGCCTGTCTTCTAATGACAATCAAAGGTAGTCTGGAGTGACCTAGCTGAGAAGACAAATGGAATAAAAGACATCCGTTGGGTAGAAGAAATCCGAGTTGTTAAAAGGGCAAAGTAGAGCTAGGAATCAAAAGGGGCAGGTTTGTATTTGATGTGGATTGCACCTTAGCAGCAGGTGTCAGTGGTCACCTCTGAATTGTGTGTCTGTGTCCCCATGTGTCATGCCCATTGTGTGTGCGTGTGTCCTTGCTCATGTGTGTGGGAACAGGGACCAGGCAATGTCCCTGCAGCTCCCAGGACTCCCAGGAGCATTAACATATTTCTGCAAAAATTGTGTTTCTCTGCATTTGGATATGAAGATGAAAAAATGTAAGAGAATATTTAAGAGTTAATCTTGGCAAATAGCTTCATCCTTAAAGGCACTTGGGAGCTTTTATTTTTTAAAGCAGTGCCTCTGCAAAATATATCCAAAAATGGTGCTTTCAGCAACTTACTCAACTGAGTTGTGAACACTGTCATTTCTTGAGTACCTTTTTTTCCCAGTCTGGAGGTTGAGGTCTACAAACATCATCCCTAAATATTAAACAAGGAAATATTAATTTAGAATACTTTTTCAGTATTGACATTGAAATTACAATTTCATAGCAGACTTAGGAGGAGAGGAACAATTGTGGAAGGGGTACCAGAAGGTCAAAGTAGAGAGAAACAGTTAAACAAAAACTAGAAGAGCCCAGGTCATTCCTGAAGAAATGTAAACAGGAGCTGGAGCCCAGCAGCCTGTCAGGCAGAAATCATGCCCTGAGGAATTTGCCAGGTCCAAGGGCTGTGCCTCAGCTGGCAAGCTCTGTTACTGCATTTTGTCTGCAGATCAAGGGCAAGTTCAGGGGCAGACGGGTCCTTCCCATGCCCACAAGGCTGAAATGAAAGTAGAAGGTACATTTGTTAATTTCCAGCAAGAAATCACTGTGGCGAGATCTGGAATCTCACATTGGCATAGCAAGCTCCTTCCCTCCGTGCATCAGGCAGACATAGAACACGGAGCAGAGTCAGAGGAATCGAATGTCTAATGGGGAGGGAGAGCAAATGTCTGAGTCAGCCTTGCTACACAGGGCCCAAAGGTAGGAAGCCCCTCAGCCAAGGCTTCTTTCCTTGGGAGGACACTGACTACACCTGCATCCATGAGAGCTGGCTCTTGGCTTCCATTGCCAAGCTCCATTTGGCAGGGCACATCTTCTCTAAGGAGAATACAAAGCTCATCCTTCATGAAGTCACATAGTCTTGATTCCCTGAAATTAAAAACAATGAGTGCAAGTTATTGAATAAGATAGTCACAATGGCCCCAAAATAAAGGTATTTATATATTCTTTGAAACACTTCTGGGTGTAAAGAAAAAGAAAGGTCCAGGCCATTTATGAAGTATTGAGACTTGGGCCGGGGATTTAGCTCAGTGGCACCATGCTTGAGCTCAATCCCTGATTGGTGGGTGGGGGTATCAAGACTTATTTAGCTCACATCTCAGGATGGTGCTGGTGTCTGGAGAGGGCCTCTTGTTGCATCAAAACACAATGAAAGAGGACTGGGGAGTTAGCTCAGTGGTTCTGCTGCCTGCCTTGCAAGCGCAAGGTCCCAAGTTGGATCCCCAGTACCAAAACAAAACAAAACAAAACAAAACAATAATGAAAGGCATCACATGAGGAGACACGCTAATGCATGAATTTCACTTTAATTAAAAGCGAAACTACTCATATTAGATTTATCATAAACCCAAAATATAAATAAAGAGCAAAATAAAAGATAGGTAATGGGAACTAGGGAGATTTCTCAAATGTGAAGGGGACCAGGAGATGGAGGGAGGACAGGGAGGGGAGGAGAAGGGGATGAAAGAATTGAGATGTGTTATGTACATGCATCAAATCCCTACAAGGTCTGTAATCATTAAGTATGGCAAACATGTACTAATAAAAAATAAAAGTTGAAAAAAAGAACTACTGACAAGGAAAAAGAAAAGTGAGGAAAGAGGAGAATTTGGAGATGCAAAAACTCAAATTTTGTCTCGTTGGATTTCATTATTACTACATTTTTCCAAAAGTAAGATACTGGGGCCAGGGATTTAGCTCAGTGGTTTTGCTGCCTGCTGCTCAAGTGCAAGGACCCAAGTTCGATCCCTGGTACCAAACAAAAACAAAAACAAAAAACAAAAGTAAGATACTGAATTGACCAGAAATATGATGATCCATTTGTTTGTCATGCAACTATCTGTGTAATGACTCCATTATAGGCATTGGAGCTAAAAAATTTCTGCTCTCAGAAAGGTCTCCAATTTCTGCTCCCAAAGATTCTTCTGGAAATGTTGAAACTGAGTCCACACAGCATTATCTCACGTGGACTCCTGAAGCTTTTGGTTCTGGCTTACCTGAGATTTTGAATAATCACCAGTGCATCCTTGTTTTCATGTAGACTGTGTTCACCTTGAGTGCAGGGGATGTGTCTGGGTCACCATGTGACTAAGCAGGAAGTATTCATTCACTCTGCTCATTTGGGGAATAGAGTTTGACCTAATTTAGATAAGAGACTTGCCTTCCCGATACTCACCAAAAATTAAAATATCCCCTCAGTGGATTGCTAGAAATAGTATTCCTGAATTACCTGGTAGAACACACATCATCCTTCAGAGGAGGAAGCAGAACACACATCATCCTTCAGAGGAGGAAGGGGAGGAATGACCATGTCACCAGGTGAGGTCAAAGGATCATCTTTTCCTTTTTCCCTCCAAGCTCCTGCATATTTGCATACATTTTGGTGTAGGTTTTGTTTTGTTTTGTTTTGTTTTTTGTATTTTGGTGTGACATTTGAAAGATCTTTTCCCAGAAAATGAAAATATTTGATTTGGAAGTAAAGGAGACCTGACATGTGATGACAGGAGAAATGAACTGGGAAAGCTCAGCTTGTCCAATTTTGCAGTGCAAACAGGCCAGGCCAAGGGCATTTGTGACAGTGAGACCATAAGTGGGGAGCTTCATTAGGCCAGGCCTCTGCTGCTTTGAGGAGAACCCTGGGCCATCACCCAACTGTGTTTAGAGAGCTGTGCTCAGTGGACTAGTTACAGATACATCCACTACAGCTTCACCTCTGAATTCTCTGTTTCCAGAGAGCAGCCATTATTTTCTCTTGCAACTAGTTTCACCTGTTCAATAGGGCTTTGC